AAAAAAAAATATATATATATATATGTACTATAGGACTGTAGTTCAACATGAAAGCCCTGAATTCAATCTTCAGTAGCATGAAGGAAGGAAAGAAGGAAGGAAGGAAGGAAGGAAGGAAGGAAGGAAGGAAGGAAGGAAGGAAGGAAGGAAGGAAGGAAGGATCGAAGTCCTAACATATCTGGAAATGTGGCTTCATTCAAAAAGAGTGTGTCAGCAGATATGAGTAAGTTAAGATGAGATCATAACAGGGGAGAGTAGGTCTTAATCCAATAACTTCTTCCAAAGGAGAGGGAAATTTAGGCAAAGAGTCACTCATCAAAGTCATTAAAAGATCTCTGTTGTACCATCATACTAGCCTATGTGTGACCTTAGCTTCTGAGACATGCTTGTCTTCCCAGTCCTCACACAGCTGATCCTCTCTGAGCTCCTGGTCCTGCTGACTTCCACACTGCAGCCCAAGATCTGAGCTTTGAGGTGAGAGCTTGCTCAGCCTAAAACATTCACCTTTCAAATCTTCTTGTTCCTCAACACTGGGCTAAAATAGCTACTTTCTCTGGAGAAGCCTGTGCAGAAGGGTCCTGCCTAAACTTGGATGGTTTCGTGCAATGCTTTGACATCCGGAATCCTTTGATTTTTATATTATTCCCATGAAGGACAGCTCAAATATCATTACATTTATCTCCTGGATGCAAATCCCATTCATGAAGGTCATACAGGCAGCAGAAATAGAATTTGAACCCAGATCTTTGATTCCCCAGCTTCATACATGGGTCTCTCTTCTTGTGTGCTGTCACATACGAATGCATGAGTATCCAGTCAAACCTTGCTTTCTTATTAGGTTATTATAAATTGTTTATCTCATGGGCTCCATGAGAACAGTTAGTTTTGGATCTTTTCACATATTTAACATATATTACATCATCAGAAGTTGAAGAAGGATGAAAGAAAGGAAGGGACCAAGGAGAAAAGAAATAAATAGATAAAAAGAACCCCCCCCAAAAAATGGAAGGAATAAATTTCAGTACATCAGATTGGATGGTAGTGACAATTTACTCAGAACAATTCATTTGTTTACACACTCAGGTGCTTTGCTGGGTGAAATATGTGTATGTAAATATGTGTGGACATGACATGGTCTGAGGGTGTCAGCCTGTGAGTGTCAATGTGTATTTGCTTGCACTCTCCCAGCTGTGTTAGTTGAAGGGGCTCCTTTTAGATATGGTCTTCACCTCGACATTTCTCAATAATAGATACATTTTCAGCACTCAGCCCTTTTTGTATATATATTGTCGTTATCACTATTATTTGTGGTTTCTTTTTTTACATTGCTACACAACCTATTATTTTAAAATGACTTTCAGCCATGTGAGACATAAAAATCTGCCCATTGGGAGGCACACATATCCGGGATAGAAATCAACATTCTTATCTGCCTGGCCCCCCACACACACAGGAAATTGACAAATGTATGCATTGCAACCTTCTGCTGAAAGTGGGGGCTTACTTCCCCCCAGACTTGGCACTTCATAGAGCCAGAAGATGGACATATTTGTATAATGGCTTTTTGCTTATTATCCACGGGATGCCAGAGGAAGAGAAAGATGGGCCTTGGTCCTGGACCTGTGGGTCCAACTTCACACCAGAGAACTTAGCCTTGGCCCTCTGAGTGTGTCCCTACAATTTCCTCACCACACCCAGCGAGTATACTTTTCCTGGAGCTCAGTAGCAAGCCTCATGGGTCCTGAAGTTGAACTGAGCCCTAATTTTGCACAGGTGGCTGAAAAGAGCTACTCAGAGACAGGAACTTCTGAACAAACCAGCTTCCTGCTGGGATACACACACACAGGGACCCCAGGGCAGCAGGACTGCAGCCATCCATCACCTGCCCCTTGCCCTCAACCTCTCCAAATCACATAAGAAATGAAGGATGGGCTCTTTCACAGCAGTTGAGGAGGAGTGCAGAACCTGGTATTGCAAGTGATCGTCACCCACAGATTAGGAGACAGTAGCTATAGAAGCCAGCAGCCGGGACACAGGAGGGAAAGTATAGTCATTGAAAGAGTGTATGAGAGACCTGCCCGCAGCTGTGCCACTCTGCAGAGCCTGGGCAAGCCTTCCTCTTTAAGGGCAGTGTGGTGGGACTGTGATTTGAAACTCCCTCCCCTGTGGGCTGCTTATGATATCTTTGTTCTCTGAGCTCAGCTTAATTAGCGTGTGTCATTGGATAAAGCTGGTTTTATTTCCCCACTTGGGGGAAGGGAGAAGTTGTCTGGAGGTGCAGTTCAGGTCCAGATCTCACAGCCCCGGGCACCATGGGAGGGAGAGGTTAATAAACAAGACACAATGAGGAGAGGCTGGGCCCTGGGTCAGGTTGGAGACCTCCAAGGCCAGGTCAAGTGAAGCTAGGCCACTGAATTCTCAGGTTTGGTGCTGTAGTATGCTTGTTTGTTTTTCCTTTTCTCTCATTTATATTTTTTAGGCAATAAGGTCTCATCTGATCATGGATTAGGGTTTGGGAAATCAATCAATTTGATGTTTTAGAATATCATTTTCCCTGCCAGAACTGAAGGACTTGTTGCTCCTCCTGGTTCTAAAGGGTATGTTTTCTATATGCTATGAAAATTAAAGTGTGTAGCACCCACTCCAATGGCAATGCATACTGCACCCCAAAATTCAGACACTTCTAAATATTGTCAATAAATAAAGAGTAAAATAGAAGATAGACAAACAGGAAGAAGGGAGATCTTTTTCACATGCCTACAGGACCGAGAAATGGAGGGACGGGGAGGAGAGGAAGGGAATGAGGATGGAAAGAAAAAGAATCAAAGGGGGAAATGATAGAAATAGAACTTTTGCAAATGGGCAGGGGACCCAGTGTTAAAGAAAATGGGAAGTGCAGAGGGAGAGAGGAGTAAAAACAGAAAAAGAATTAAGGTATGTTCTACACATGTACCAATTCCCAATGATAAATGTAATCATTATGTACTGCGAACATGTGTTAGGAAAAAAAAAGAAAGTTAACTTTAAGCCATGTATAAGTAAAACAGTTCTTGTGAAAATACGCTGCAGTGTATGGTCTTTTAATTCATGTCAAAACTCCTCAGAAGAGAACAGATTTAAGGGGCCATGAGAAAAAAAAAAAAAAAAAAAATATATATATATATATATATATATATGTATATAGCCCATTTATTTTTTCTGGATCTAATGATTCTCATTTTCTTATTTTTAACATTATGTGAATTTATAGTATACAAAGGGGAGTTTAAATATATATTTGCATTAAATGTGAATTTGTGTGCATATTTGTATGGTTGGTAAGACCAATGTTTCTAAATACTTTATTCAAAGAAATTTTGTGTAGAAAATGACAGAACAATACAGCTTTTGTAGGATCCACCCAGAAAGAGAAGAGAGAGGGCAGTTCATTAGGGCCTCCCAAGATTCAGTGTGGGAATCACATCAAGTGGTTCTGGTCCTTGCTGTTTAAAAAGATAAACTGGTGACATCCCAGGCAATGTCACTGCAGGAAGCCAGCCCTAACCAACTTGACTGGCCCCCAACTACACTCAATCAACTGTTTAGAG